TGTTGTTGTTGTTGTTGTTGTTGTTGTTGTTGTTGTTGTTGTTGTTGTTGTTGTTGTTGTTGTTGTTGTTGTTTGTTGTTGCTTGTTGTTGTTGTTGTTGTTGTTGTTGTTGTTGTTGTTGTAGTTGTGGTTGTTGTTGTTGTGGTTGTTGTGGTTGTTGTTGTGGTTGTTGTTGTTGTTGTTGCTTGCTTTGAATTTCGCATGCTCGCGACCAAGGGGGGTTCGCCTGCCCGAGTCAGCCGGCACTTTTTCGTCGGGGGCCACGCCTGTCGGCGCTGTGGCACTCAGTGAGGGCTGCCTCCGCTCCCCCCACTGGCGGGCTTGCCCCTTTCTGCTTCTCCTCCTCCTTCTTGGCTCCTCATCCTCCTCATCCTCCTCCTCCTCCTTGGCTCCTCATCCTCATCCTCCTCATCCTCATGCTCCTCCTCCTCCTCCTCCTTCTTTGGCTCTGCCGCCTCGCCGCAAGATCGGGCTCCTCACAGAGCGCGCTCTCTCCCTCTGTGACAGTGCGCGACGCGGCCTTCACAAAAAGGTGGTCCACGGACCCCCGCCACTGCGTGCGGGCCTGGGCCTCAAATGCGTCTGCGGAAGCGGCGGGGTGCGCGAAACAAGAATACAGTGGGGGACCATGCCAAGAAACGCCCTGCTTGCCTCCAGGGTGCCCTGGGTTTCTTGGGCGTTGATGGTTCTGCCATGGACGGCGCGGCGTTCCCACACCAGAAATCGATGGACCCCCTGGGGTTCCAGGGTTGGGTTTCCGGTGGAGGGTTTCTTGTGGTCGGGCCCCCACTGAAAGTGGATACACGCTTACACCAGCCCATCCAGAATCGAATCCAGGCGAGCTGCATTGGTCAGAGAAGCGCAGGAGCATGTAGACGAGCAAATCGTATGGGCTGTTGTCAAATCGAATCTCGGAATCAGTCCGAGCAGACCCAGGAGTGAACCATCCATCCATGCCTTCGCGGGTGTTTTGAATGAGGAGGAGGAATATGATCTGGATGAAGAGGAGGCGATATGTGGGAGGAATATGACGAAACGGGAGAAGAGTATGATAATGAGGGTCACTTCAGCAGACCGTGTTCTCACTCAATTTCAGGTGAAGCCTGGGCGGGAGGAGAGAAGAGGAGGAGGACGCGGGGAGGAAGCTGTGCGACCTTTGCCCTGGGAGCCTCCTGGAGACTTCCTGGAGCCCTCTTGGGGCCCTCTTGTGGTTGTGCTGGAAGCGTTCGGATCCCTTTTTCTCTGTAGGGCGACGAGATCTATGCATATCCACTGCTCCTGGCCAGGCCCATCCTGGGCCCAGGAGCTGTGTATATGCCTCCCTGGCCAGGCCAGGAGGGCGTATACACCGCTCCTGGGCCCAGGATTGGCCTGGCCAGGAGCAGTGGATATGCATAGATCTCGTCCCCCTATGGGGGCTCCCCCGGTGCCCTCCTGGGGGCCTTCCGGGGATGCCGCCGCCAAGCAGCGCGGGCGTCGCAGACTGCACTGCCAGCGTCGGGGCCCGAAGCATCGCCCCTTTGGGCTCCCTTGGGCGATTATTTGGGGGCCACCTCGAGTCCCCGGGGACGGGGAGGAGGGGGGAGAGCGGGGGAAGGGAGGGAACGACAGGGACAGGGAGGAGTTACTCAAAAGAAACAGGCATGGAGGAGGAAGAGGAGGAGGAGCAGGAGGAGGAGAAGGAGGAGAAGGAAGAGGTACAAACTTACGTTGTTAAAGGTGCCGGCCCCATTCGACATGCAATGAAAAGTGGGGGAGTGACCCCATTACTGGGGTTCGGGCAGGGGCTTACACCCGCTCTGCTGCAGACGCGGCTGCCGCTTTGGCCGCGCGAGCTGCCTGGCCCAACGCGACGGCCTCCTCCCTCGAAAACCCCCAAAATTGCAAACCAGTCTCGGCATCGAGGGCCCTCAGGCCCGCATGCCTGGGGGAGGTGGAGAAGGAGGAAGAGACGACACCGACGCACCAGAATCGTAATCCAGAGTCAGCTTCAGCAAGAACATGCCTCCAGAGGGACGGGGAGGAGGCGGGGACGGGGAGGATGGGGGGAGAGCGGGGGAAGGGAGGGAACGACCAGGAGCAGGATCAATATCTCAGCTGGACAGCTCAGGCGAGCCAGCGCGCCCCGCCCACTCCCACCCCGATCGATTGGATTCGATGCCGGCTCAAGCCAGCCTTAAATCGGGCACGTCCCTCTACAGGGGGCATATTCAAAAAAAGCTAAACAATACGTAGTGGATTCTTTTCTGAGCATTATTTCAGCATTTTGAAGTATTTTTTGGTATTTTGAATTTTCCGTCGAAAATCCACCTGTGGGGGGACACGCCCGACTTAAAGCCAGCCCGATCCGATTTGATGCCGATACTCCGATGTTCCTTTGCGACACGATGCTCGCTTTGCGCTGTTGTGCATCCTGGCGCGACCAATCCGACGCAGATGTCGGGCCCACCCAATGTCCTGATCAGATGCCGACTCTTCCCCCCTGTCGGAGCATTGGAGC